AAAAAAAAAAAAAAAAAAAAAGAAAAGAAAAAGAAAAAGAAACCACACAAAAGCCCCAACTCAATGTTTTTTGTTTTTTGTTTGGAACTAGGGATCAAACTAAGGCCCTTGTGCTTTCGAGGCAGGCAGTGGCACCACTGAACTAAATCCCTGGCCCCATGTTTTTTCTGTAAACTTGTCTTATGCACTTGATGATGAGTTTATAATAGTATATATGCTGCAAATAATATGTGCTTTTATAAATTAATAATTTATAAAGAATAAAATGGGTTTTGATCTCCAGCATCACACACACACAATTTTTTTAAACTGTATTTTAAGTATAGCTTAGAAAGTACAGTAGAGTTATAATTTGACATTGTATTTATGTGTAATAATTACAATTCCTGGACTTGATATTTTGGAATTTTATGATTTAAAGACAGGACCATCCTTAACCATTTAATATTTGAATCTTAGGGATGCATCTCTTGGAAAATCATCAGTTGTCCTTGGGTTGTGTACAACTCCAGTTAAATGCCATGCTCTTGCTGTATGATGTAAGGGACAGTTTCTAACTTGCCTTCTCCGAAGGGCACCATTAAATTTCAGGCAGTTAATGTCTCATGCTCTGGGAAGTAGCACATATACTCTCTGGGGGGTTTTATATGTCATACTAACCATGATATAAATGAAAAGCATTGTAGCGTTCATTTATTTTAAATTGGGAAAAGTGTCTAAATAGTGTTAATTTATAAAGGTGAAACAGGCTGATTAACTTTTTTAATTTGTGGGAATTAAATATTGACTAAGAAAAATTAACTTTATTTTATAAAATTAAGAGGTATAATTTTGGTGGGGGGTGTTGAGACTGGGTCTTGCTCTGTAGTTCAGGCATTGAGCTTCCCATGTAGCCTTGAATGCAGAGATCCTCCTGCCTCAACCTCTGGAGTGCTGGGATTACAGGGATGTCACCACACCTGACCTCATGAATTATTTTATTCAAATTAAATGTTTGACATCTAATTGTTACCTTACCTTTACCAATTTGGTTTATTTTCTGTTTTTTTTTTTTTTTTTTGTACTGGGGATTCAACTTGGGTCTTATGCTTGCAAGGCAGGCCACCGAACTGCTGAGCTAAATCCCCAGCCCTTCTTGTTTTTTTTGAGACAGGATCTCACTATGCAGTTGAGACTGACCTGTAACTCACTATATAGCCCAGGCTGGTCTCGAACTCATAGTGATCCTCCTGCCTCAGCCTCCCAAATGCTGGGATTAGAGGCATGCACCACCACACCTGACCTTGGTTTCTTTTTTTTTTCCTTTTGGTACCAGTGATTGAACTCGGATCTTTGCATTTGCCAGGCAAGCGTTGGAACCACTGAGCTACATCTCTGGCCCTTTTTTTTTTTTTCTTTTTGAGACAGGGTCTGAACATGTAGTTCAGGCTAGCCTCAAACTTGCAGTGATCCTCTTGCCTCTGTCTCCTGAGTGCTGGGTTTACAGGCATGTACCACTATACCCAGCTAATTTGGCTTGTTTTCTAAATGGAAATAGCTTTATTGACCTTTTGATTTTGAAACTATGTGTTGGTTGGGGCCAGGGATTTACCTGAGTGGTGCCACCACCTGTCTCGCAAGCTCAGGGTCCCAAGTTTGACCCCTAGTACCAAACCAAACAAAAAAACAGGGCTGGGGATTTAGCTCAGTGGTTCCGCCACCTGCTTTGCAAGCACAAGGACCCGAGTTCAATCCCTGGTACCAAAAAACAAACAAACAAAAATCTGTATTGGTTACAAGTAGGGAAATAATAGAAAGTTACAGTTTTGTGTAAAAAAAAAGAAAGTTACAGTTTTATTTAACAAAGTGTTCAATATTCCTACAGGTGGTTCTCTATACACTGCTGAGCCAGGAGAGGAGAGCAGATCCTGAGGCGGGCTTGCTTCTTTACCTCAAGACTGGGCAGATGTACCCTGTGGCTGCCAAGCATCTGGATAAAAGAGGTGGAACTGCTCTTGGTTTTTATTCCTGGCTGTTCTGTTGCCCTCAGCTTCTGGCAACAGTTTTATGCCTGAAGGTCTGCTTGCAGCACCTGGCATCCTACTAAGTTGTAATTTGTAGCTGTGGCACTCTTCTAAAACAGAATTGTATTGATATACTTTATAGTTGAAAGCATTTTCAACATTTAAAAATTTTGTAATGCCGAACTTAAGGTTGAATTTCATACTTAACATTAGAAATGCTCTAGATAGTGCTATACTCAGCATTCAGGTAATAAAATGTCAGCTTGACAAATTCTTACCCATTTTGAGGTAGGTATTTGTTCCAAGACTTAGCAAGTAAATAGAAATTTACAGGAAATGTAATTGTCAGTGGTTGTTCTAGAGTAGTGGAAAATATGATTGCTGTTCTCTGCTTTTCTTTATGCTTTTAGATCTGAGTTTTATTAATCTACTTGAGAAGATAAGTGATAAACTTTACTAAATAAATTCTTGCTGATGTTTAGCTTTTTTCTCCTTGTAGAATTATTAAAGCTAAGAAACCAGATGTCATTCATTTTGCTGCACCGTACTAGCAAATCTGCCACTGGAAAGGAGAAGACACAGCTTGCTTCTTTGCCTCAAATGATTGAGGAGGAGAAAACCTGTAAATATTGTTCACAAATGAACAACTGTGCTCTTTATAGCAGGTAAGCACACTTTTCCAAAAGCATTAATTCAAGTTGAGTGTGATCTCAGTATGACAGTGTTGGTGACTGATTGGGCATTGACGATTTCGTGTTTTGTAGTACTGGGGCCTTCACATTGAGCTATACCTTCTGTCCTTTTTCATTTCATCCTTTATTTGGTGTGTAGTAGTTTTTTTTGTTTTATTTTGTTTTTTGTCCTGGGGATCGAACTCAGAACCTTGCACTTGTGAGGCAGGCAGTGGAACCACTGAGCTAAATGCCTGGCCCTGGTGTGTAGTATTTTTTGAAATGAAGGGATTGGGAGGGGGCTCAGTTTATATTTTCAAACAAGTCCATTTTCTTAGTAAATAGTAGAGTGCTTTTAAAACTTTTTCCAAAAGTACCTATTTTAATCTCACTGCATATAGTTTCTGTGAAGTGAAATAATTATAGGATATGGGAATCTGGTTCAGAAAGATGCAGCTGAGGTATTTCGAATACAAATTTTCTTACTGGGCAGGGTGGCAAATGCCTGTAATCTCAGCCCTTAGGAGGTTGAGGCAGGAGGATCTTGAGTTCAAGGCCAGCCTGGTCTATATAATGAGATCCTGTCTCAGAAAACAAAAAAACAACAAATAAACCACTCCAAATGATTCTCCATATTTTAGATTAACTTGCTTATGTTACAGAGCTGGGTGTACAAATAGTGTGATTTCAAGAAACAGGTAGCTGTACAAAACTTATGAGAATGAAGACTAGAATATAGCAAGATTAAATTATTTGGTTGATAGTTGTTAGAGGCAAAATAATAATATTGAATTGCTTACACATTTTTTTGCTTTGTAAAAAGCTACATGGTTTATGAAGTGAAATAGCTTTTAAGGAACATTAGGGTTGTGGTTGTTAGGTACTGTGGTCAGCATATATGCACACTTCCTTTAGAAAAATCTTATTTCATGTCAAGCCAGATAAAAGTTATATATGACAGCAATTCTAACGTGGAGCTTGGTATTTAGAGCAGTTGAACAAGAGATGGAGGATGGTTCAGTCCCAGTGGTTATGCTGCCCAGAATAAAAGAAGCTACCGAGCACCTGAAGTGCACGCACTTACAGTATTTCAGTGTTTGGTGTCTCATGTTAACCCTGGAGTCACAATCAAAAGACAGTGGAAGGAATCATCAGAGTATCTGGCTCATGTCTGCTTCTGAAATGTGAGTAGTCCATGCAATGCGCCCTTGGACTTGACACATGCAGGTCCCTTAGCGTCATTCCTGACTACTCTGGCTGCTCTCAGTGAGCTGTTCTGACTGGAGCCCCATCTGCCCTCACCTGCATCTTGTCATGGAACAGAGATTAACTGTGGCTCAAGAAATCTTATTTTGGCCTGGGGACGTGGCTTTGGGGTAGACTGCAAGTGTGAGGCCTTGGGGTTTGATCCCTAGCACTGCACACAGAAAGCAAAAGAAAAATCTTTATTTTCATAATAATCAGTAAATTCGTTTTCATCAGTGATGTTAGTATAAACTAGGGTATATTTGGTACTTATTGGTAGAATGAAAATGAAGTTTTATTTGAGTTTTTAAATACTAGTATTTTATTTATTTTAAATACTAGTATTTAGAGAGTCTATTTTCAGTAAATTATATATGAGTAGTGGAAGTTTGTGGCTTTTTTCCCCCTGGTACTGGGGATCAAACTCAGGACCTTGCACTTGTGAGGCAGGCTTGGTGCCAATGAGCTGAATCGCCAGCCCTGTGTTTTTTCTTTTCTGAGCTACTTATGAAGTTAGAATTGTGTATATCTTTGTGCAGTAATATTCTTCATGTAAGATTTAGTTGTTTTAGATCCATTTTTGTCTTTCCGGAATGAATATTGATAACATTGTGACCTTAGAAGTCGTTTAGCCAGGTGTGGTACTGCACTCCTGTAATCCCTGCACTCCTGTAATCCCAGCACTCAGAAGGCCAAGGGGGTGGTCACTGTGAGTTTGAGACCATCCTGGGGTATGTAGTGAGTTCAAGGCCACCCTGAACTATAAAGGGAGACCTTGTCTCCAAAACAAACAAAGTGGGGCGGGGCTGGGGATTTAGCTCAGCGGCACCATGCCTGCCTTGTAAGTGCAAGGTCCTGAGTTCAAAACCCAGTACCAAAAACAAAACAAAACAAAACAAACAACAACAACAAAAAAGGGGTCGGGGATTTAGTTTAGTGGTGCTGCTGCCTGCCTTGCAAGCACCACAAGGTCCCAAGTTCGATCCCTGGTACCAAAATGAAAAATAAACAAACAAAAAAGATTTAAGGATCTTTCTCTAAGTTTAGACTTTCATAGAAGGAAATTTTTTTTTTCTTTTATTGAGTTTATTGGTACATTTTAGGTATACAGTACTCTTCTTTTTTTTTTTTTTTTTTTTTTTTTTTTTTTTTTTTTTTTTTTTTTTTTTTTTTTTTTTTTTGGTAGTACTGGGATTGAACTCAGGACCTTGTGCTTGCAAGGCAGACATGGTACCACTGAGCCAAATCCCCGGCCCCCATAGAAGGAAATATTATAGTGGAGAAAGTTCATATATATTTTGTAGTTAGACTGCATAAATCCAGCAATTCATCAAGCATACATACTAATATACTTCTGAGATTGTATAGTATTGGATAGCAGTGTCAGAGAGGTTTGTAAATCCTGAATGTTTCTTAGAAGCGTTGGAATTATCAACTGAATTTTTGTTATTTTAATAACAATAATTATAAATCCTCTTGCAAGCACTGGGTTATCCACGTTGGGTTGGGGAGCAAATGTTAGTTTGCCTCTGTAATGGTTTGTGTTTCCACGCAGAGGGTGGGGCACCTTGTTCAGGCATCTTGAGTGTGGGTGCGACAGGGTGGTGGTGAGAGATCACATACAAAGTAAGGGGTATCGGGCCGGGGATTTAGCTCAGCATTCGGTGGCCTGCCTTTAAGCACAAGGACCCGAGTTCAATCCCCAGTACCAAAACAACAACAGCAACAACAACAAAACAACTAAGGGGTGTCTGCTTGGCTTTTCTAACACTGTGGATTGTGGAAAATCTAATAAAAGGACTATTAGCATTAATTGCCTGGGGCCAGGTAAACAAGTGAGTTGTGAAAAAATGCAAACGTGCATGATGTAAACAGACGTTTTGTGTCTTTTTTCCTAGGGAGGAGAGTGGTAGCTGCATTGGAAATCTGATCAGAACAGAACATGTACAGAGAGTTTGTGATGGGCAGTATGCACAAAGCTTCCGACGTAAACAAGGTGGCATGCCCATCACAAATCTGATGGCAGGGGACAGAATTATCGTAAGTGGAGAAGAGAGAACACTGTTTGCTTTGTCCAGAGGATATGTGAAGGAGATTAACACAACAACAGTAACCTGTTTATTAGACAGGTGATAAAATGCTTTTTTTAAAAATAACAGCTTTTTCCATATATAGTTCCCATACCACTCCCACTAAGTAGTCCCTGCCCGTTTTTTCCTTCCTGCAGACCCTGGCAACCACTGTTTTGCTTTCTATCTGTGTATTTATCTCTAGATGTATCAGTTTCCTGTCTGGTTTTTTTTTTGTTTGTTTGTTTTTGGTATGGAGGATTGAACTTGGATCCCTCCGTTTGCAAGGCAGGCAGTGGAACCAATAAGCCCCTGCCTGTGTCTCATGCCTTTTACTTTCCATAATGTTTACAGTGTTCGTCAGCATGTGTCAGTGGCTCATTTGTTTGACTGAATGGAGAATACTTCATTGTATCGCTGGGCCACATTTTGTTTACCCATTCACCGGCTAATAGACATTTGAGTGTAAATAGTATTCTATGAATGTTCACCTACAGATTTTTATGTGATCATGTTTTCATTTTCTTTATAGTTACTTAGTGGAATTGTTGGGTTATGTGCTATTTTCATGTTTACTATTTGAGGAACTGCCAAACTTTTATTTAGTATATTACAGGAAATGGGAGAGAGGATGTTACCACAGACCCATGCAGTGGGTCTACAGTCCCCTGTGAGGCACTAACTGATAAGAGTGAAGAAAGAAACTAGACTTAGCACTGAGTCTTGGGGCTGATCAGTGCTGCCCTGGGCAGCACAGGTGAGCAGAGTATGCTTTGAAGACAGGAATGTAAAGGGGGAAGGCACTGCTTTCCTTGCTTGGAGAAATCAAAGGCTGCCGAGACTAGGTTGCAATTAACTAGAGTGCTAATACTGGGCAGACATGTCTGCTACAGTATATTACATCCTAGTACTAATATGCACATAATATTTTCCGATTCTCACATCTGCATGTATGTCAAGCAGAGTAGATACCTGTCACCTTGCGTTAGTTGTGCAGTTTCTCTTAGTTCTCTAGAAATTCACATTTTGTTTCCTTTTTAAAAAGTTTTTCCCTCCATAGCTGTGATTTAAAGTATATTTTCAGTTAAAGTGAATTGACTTAATAGAAACATACTAGGTAAATAGAATAGTTGACATGAAAATCAGTGGCAGAGACCAAGTCCATGTTCACTATCATCTGTATCCCCCGTCTTAGTTACTTTCCTCATTGCTGAGACTAAATACCTGGCACCCAAAGTTAAAGGAGGAAAGGTTTACTGTATAGCTCACGGTTTGTAGAGGCTACAGTTCATAGTTGGCTGGCTCCAAGGCAAGGTGGCACGGCAGAGGGGCATCGCAGAGGAGAAACAGTTTGTGGTGGGCAGAAGGTAGCAAAGCAGCAAGGTAGGGAAGCAACAGCAGCCACAGAAGCCTTTCTCTCTTACCCCGTCCAGGCTGCCCGCCCTTTGGTTGGTGCCACCCACACCGAGGATTGGCCTTCCCATTATTCACCCCCAGAACTATGCCAGACCAACCAGAGGATGAAATCAAACACTCTTAATCCCAACATCACACACACTTAATCCCCGGCATGACTGCATGAGGCTTTGGGGGGACATCTAGATGTAAGCCATGACACCCCCTTTTGCACAGCCAGCCCCCTCGTAGCTGATACTGAATGGATAGAGGTTAGCAGTTGGGGCTCATGAAGCCTGAGTAAATGCAGTATGTCCAGGCTTGTTCCTTGCCGATCAGTAATCCTAGTTGGGCTGTCACCAGCCCTGGTCTGTTTTTCTTTTTGTTTTGTTTTCTTTCGGTACCGGGGATCAAACTCAGGCCCTTGTGCTTGCCAGGCAGGTGGCGGAACCACTGAGCCAAATCCTCGGCCCAGCTCTGATCTGGTGGTTTCCCTGATGAGGGAGTATGAGCCATAGTATTCCTATTGTCAGGAGTCCCTACAAGCCTTGGTAGTAGTTTTTGGATTTTGTGGTGCTGCAGGTGGTACTCAACACCAAGTGCTGTACCACTGAGCTATATTCTTAACCTTTCTAGCTGTGTGTGTGTGTGTGTGATGTGGTAGGTTCTTTGTAAATAATCTGAGGGATTTATTTTATGGCGTGTAGGCACATACATGATAATTTTCAAACTAACACATGAAGTTTTCAAATTGATAGGAAGATAGTGGCATTTAACCCAGTTTTAGGAGGCTCAGGGAAGGCTTTATAAAAAAAATGATTCTGGGAAAAAAAATCTAATTCTGGATCTTCATGTTGTGGATTAGTAAATTAGTAGATGTGAGCAGTATGCCAGACTGAATCAACGTGTTCACAGGCATGATTGATCATATGATGTGGTGTGACATGGGGTTTTCAGGAAAGTGAAAATAGTTCATTGTCCGTGGAATATAAAATATAAGGGAGTGACTGGAGAACTCAGGTCATATATACCATGTTTAGAAAGCTTGATTTTACTTTTTCAAACGTTGTCAAGTTTTTGTTTTTGTGCTAGGAAATGAATTTAGGTCCTTCCACTTTCAAGGCATTCGCTCTACCATCGAGCTATATTCCCAGCCTTGTGATGTGTTTTAAACAGATGCATAGATAGATATTGCATCTGCATTGTCTTATGGATGAATTGTGGAGATCTGAGTTAATTAGTAAGAGTCAAATTGAAAGCAGAGAAACCGTGAAGCTGTTGTAGAGGCCCAGGGTAGCTGTTATTGAGGGCAAGGTTAGTGTTGGTGGAGAGGACAGAATGACTTTGTTACCTGTAATTGAACTCAGGAACCTTGCACTTGTGAGGCAGGTGGTGGCACCACTGAGCTAAATCCCTGGCCAAAGAGTGACTGATAGGTATTTAGAAAGTGCATTTGGCAGGCAGCTGGATACTGCTTAGATGTGGGTGTGGGAAGGATGGTGAGGGGGAAGGATCAGTACAGTAGTGTGGATCCAAGTGCTCTCAACCAAGGTCAGGACCAGAGGTGGCAGCTCAGGTGCATCAGGGATGAGGAGTTTAGTTTTGAGTATATGAGCTGCCATAGCCGGAGTTTTAGCCAGGTGGAGAGATCATCCTACCTGAAGATAGTCAAACCAGAAGTTTGGGCGATGAGCCAGGTGGGAGGAAAGTGTAGGGCTGGCCTAACAATAGGAGATTTGGCGTGAGAGCATAGAAGAAGAGTAGCATTTCAGTGGACCAGGAAAGGGACTCTAGGGGCAGGCAGGGAAGAGGGAGGAGGCAGCAGGAAAGAGGCTTGTCCTCCAGGCCGGAAGAGGGGAGCCATGTGTTTAGGACCCTGCTGGGTGGTGAGCTCACTGTAAATTGCAAGGTCAATTTGTGGTTATCCATTGCTCTGACTTCGTTGCTCTGTGCCCTCCGTTTCCCCTTTGCCCACCAATTCATGGCTGTACAGTATGCTGCCTTTGATGAGCTAGTGTGAACAAGGGACTGAGATAGCCTTTTTCTTTTTCTTTCTTTTTTAAGTAGCTATTTTATAGCTATTCCTGCCTATTTTTTCTTTCGGCAGATAACAGTATATTTCTTGTAGAGATCATATGAAGTGAAAAATGCTCATCTGTATTTGTTTTGCTGTTCTAGGAATTTGTCAGTACTTCCAGAATCAACGTTGTTCAGGTTAGACCAGGAAGAAAAAAATTGTGATATAGACACCCCATTAGGAAATCTCTCTAAATTGATGGAAAACACTCAAGCCAGGTTTGTAAGAGTAAATAAATCTAAATTTTTTCTTACTTTCATAAGGAATGCTACTAAAAATACCTTTTCTCTTTTCAGCAAAAAACTTCGAGAATTAATCATTGACTTTCGAGAACCTCAGTTTATACCCTACCTCAGTTCTGTCCTTCCACATGATGCAAAGGATACAGTCGCCAGCATTCTAAAAGGTACACTATAACCAGCACTTTGTCATTTTCCCTGGTTCTATTTATAATTTAAATTATGCCATATCTTATTTCTTAATTGATTGGACTTGCAGTTATAATGGTTAGCCAGAGACCATTTGGTAATAGTTTGTATGTATATATATTATATATATTTTTTTTTCTTTTTTTTTTTTCTGATATCAGGGATTGAACTCAGGATTTTGAGCTTGCAAGGCAGGTGTGCTGCCACTGAGCTAAATCCCTGGCTTCTCTCCAACGCCCATCTACCCCCATCAGGGGGTTGAAGTCACAGCCTTGTGCTTGTAAGGCAGGCGCAGAGTGACTGAGATAAATCCCTGGCCTTCCCAGCCCCCACCCCCCACCAGGGGATGAACTCAGAACCGTGCGCTTGTAAGGCAGGTGTGACACCACTGAGCTAAATCCCCAGCGTGGTTTATATATATTTGTATCTTTTTTTTTTTTTTGGTACTGGGAATTGAACTTGGGTCCTTGCACTTATGAAGCAGGTGGCAACACCACTGAGCGAAATCCCTGGCCCTGTATTTATTTTTAAAAGTCAACTTTTTTTTTTGTTTTTTTTTTTTTAACTTTGAAAACATGTACTGAAGAACAAATGCAGACAGGGTCTCACTCTGGAGCCCAGGCTGGCCTTGAGCTGTCAATGATCCTCTTAGCTCAGTCTCCTGAGTGCTGGGATAATAGGTGTGCACTGCCACACCTGGAAAAGATTGCTTTTCGTATAAAATAGAGAAGTTGCGTATTGAAATTCAGTAATCTTATTATTATTTTTTTAAATGTAGGTTTGAATAAGCCTCAGAGACAAGCAATGAAAAAGGTTCTTCTTTCAAAAGATTACACTCTCATCGTGGGTATGCCTGGGACAGGAAAAACCACTACCATCTGTACCCTTGTAAGGTTATTATTATTTTGCTTAGAAATTATATCAGCTTCCCTTATCTCAGAGGATATGATATTTGGTGCCAGATGGGCTGAAATTTAATTAAAAAATTTTTTTTTGGTACTGAGGATCAAACTTGGGATCTTGCACTTGCAGGACAGGTACAGTGCCACTGAGCTAAATACCTGGCTCTCAAAATCTTTTATTTCAAATCAACTTTTTAGAATAACATGAGAAAATAATAAAGCTGAATTATAAATACAATATAGTAGTTGTAATCACTTTTCACACTTAGAATTTTTTTAAACTTTTTCTTTTGGTGGTATGTGATATATTACCGCATGTCTTTCCTTCCCTTTATTTGGTTTTTCTATGTAGTTCAGGCTATGCTTGAATTCTGTAGTCAAGGCTGGCCTCAAACTTCACATCCCTGTAAAAAAATTAAGCCAGGTATAGTGACACACACCTGTAATCCCAGCATGTGGGAGGCTGAGGCAGAAGGATTGCCTTAAGTGTGAGGCCAGCTTGGACCACATAGTAAGTTGAAGGCCAGCTTGAACTACATCACGTGAACTACATACACACGTGTGTATACCGTTTGATTTTCTTGGATTTTTTTCACATCAGTAAATTTTTGGGCAGTCTCAGAATAATTATGTTAGTAGCAGATGTTTATTGATAAGTATGCTAGACAATATTAAAAACTATATTTGATTTGAGCCAAAAGGCCGAGAAGCTATTCACGATATTAAAAACTTACATGTGTCCAATTTATTAATACTTTTGTATTAATAACAATAATGCCACATAATTTTTATTTATTTATTTATTTTTGGTACTGGGGATTGAACACTGGTCTTTGTGCTTGCAAGGGAGGTGGTGGAACCACTGGGCTAAATCCTTGGCCCTTAATGGCATATAATTTTGTAAAATTTTTGGCTTTAAAAGTTTTTTGATTGCTTGGCTCAGCTCCTGGATGTGCTGTGCTTCCTGTTGAGTTTTCTAGTTCTATTTGAAAAATATAAGCATGTTGAAAAATAACTGGGAAAAACAAAAACAAAAACAAAACATAATTGCAAGGGCCAGGGATTTAGCTCAGTGGTTCTGCTGCCTGCCTTGCAAGTGCAAGGAACCAAGTTCGATCGCCGGTACCAAAAGAAAAAAGAAAAAAAAAAAGAAAATTAACTGGCATTAAAAGTAATACTATTACTGAAAAAAAGAGATTGAAGAGGATATAAGAAAATGGAAAGATATCCCTTGTTCCTGGGTAGGAAGAACCAATATAATGAAAATGGCCACACTTCCAAAACTGCTATACAGATTCAACATAATTCCTGTTGAAATCCTAACAGTATATTTCACAGAACTAGAGAAAAACAATCCAAAAATTCATTTCGAATCAGAAGAGACCTAGAATAGCAAAAGCCATTCTAGGCAACAGAGACATAATGGGGGTATCACAATCCCCAGCTTGAAACTATACTACAAAGCCCTTGTAAGAAAAACAGCATGACCTGAGTTTGATTCCTGGTACCAAAAAAAACAAAAACTAGCATGATACTGGCAAAGAAACACACCAGAGGATCAGTGGAATAGATTAGAAGATGCAGAAACAACTCCAGACATAATCAGCTACCTCATCTTTGACAAAGGAGCCAACCATCTTCACTGGAGGAAAGATAGCCTCTTTAATTAATGGTGTTGGAAAAACTGGATTTCAACTTGCCAAAGATTAAAACTAGACCCCTATCTTTCACCATGCACTAAAGTAAAATTCAAGTGGATTAAAGATCTATTTTATAAGATCTAAATATTAAACACTAAACTTGCTGAAAGATAGGTAGAACTCTCAAAGATACTGGCATAGGAAGATTTTATGAACAAATCCTTAGCATGGGAACTAGCAGAAAGAATCAACTGGAATCTATCTCATCTTTTTTAAAAAAGCTTCTGCACTGCAAAAGAAATCACTAACAACTAAGAGACAATTTACAATATGGGAAAAAAAAATTTACCGGCTGTTCCTCAGACAAAAGTCTACTATCTAGAATATATAAAGAACTCAAAAAAAATCAGAACCCCGAAATATAAAGACCCAGTTCAAAGATGGGCACCTGAAATAAACAGACATTTTTCAAGACAAAGAAGTAAAAGCAGCAAATAAACATGAAAAAATGTTCAACATCATAGGTCAAGAGATACAGATGAAAACAACACTGAGATTCCACCTTACTAGAAAGAATGGAAATCTCTATCAAGAAATCAATAAATGCTTGGGGGTTGGAGGAGAAAAGAATCCTCCATTGTTGGTAGGAGTGCAGACTGGTTCAGCCATTGTGGAAATCACTATGGAGACACCTCACAGAACTAGGATTAAAGGTCCCATTTGACCCAGCTATCCCTCTGCTGTGTACCTTCCCAAAAGAATTAAAAGAATCATCACAGTGATACATGCTCACCCATATTTTTAGCTGCACAGTTTGCAATAGCTAAAACTTGGAAACAGCCCAATTGCCCATCAACTGGAGACTGGATAAAGATTGTTTTTTTGGTATCGGGGATTGAACTCTGGTCCTTGCGCTTGCAAGGCAGGCCACTGAACTGCTGTGCTAAATCCCCGGCCCTTTTTTTTTTTTAATAAAATGGATACTACTTATCTTCTCACAAGCGCAAGGACCCGAGTTCAATCCCTGGTACCTAAATAAATAAATAAATAATAAAAAGATGGATACTACTCATCCATAAAGAATGAGAAACTAGAGACATTTATAGCTAAGTGAATGCACATTGAGGCCATACTCTTAAGTGAAATTAAGACACGCAGGGCTGGGGATTTAGCTCAGTCGTGTCAGGGATTTAGCTCAGTGGTGCTGCCGCCTGTCTTACAAGTGTGACATCCTGAGCTTGATCTCCAGTACCAAAAAAAAAGAAAAGAAAAGAAAAGATAACACATTAAGACACATGTGTAAGTACCAAATAGTTTCTCTGGTGTGAAAAACTAAAAGTATAAATAAGAATCAAAATGAATAATTGATACTGTGTAGTAGGAAGAAAAGGCCTGAAGGAGTAGGGGAAAGGTAAGAAGAGAAGAGAAAAGGAAAAACATGGAAACAAAGTCTTTATAAATAGGGAAGGGTGGAGGAGGTGAAGGGAGGGCGTGGGAATGAGGAAAAGAAAAGTAATAACTGTATTTTTTTCTCATCCATTTATTAGGTGAGAATCCTCTATACCTGTGGTTTCAGTGTTTTGTTAACCAGCTATACACATTCTGCTGTTGATAATATTCTATTGAAGTTAACCAAGTTTAAAATTGGATTTTTGCGTTTGGGTCAGACTCAGAAGGTTCATCCAGATATCAAAAAATTTACAGAGGAGGAAATTTGCAGATCAAAATCCATTAAATCCTTAGCTGTTCTAGAAGAACTGTATAATAGTCAAGTAAGTACAATTATTGTATGTTAATACTGGCAGTAACTTCTATGGCCAGAATGGAGGGAGAAATGATACTCTGGGGACTTAGTCACATTGACCAGATGTGCATGTGGTTATATACTTCATAGGACCATTTTATTCATTTATAGTTTACTGTTTCCTTTGGAACTAAAGTGAGTTTTTGATTATTAGAAACGCTTTTGGTTAGTAGAAAACTAATAATTATTTAGTGAATTTGAATCAGAAGCAGTGATAGTTAAGTCTTTTTTTTTTTTTTTTTTTGGTGCCAGGGATTGAACCCTGGGCCTTGCGCTTGCAAGGCAGGCCACCAAATTGCTGAGCTAAATCCCTGGCCCTAAGTTTTTTTTTTTTTTGGGAGACAGGATCTCGCTATGTAGTTGAGAGTGACCTGGAACTCACTGTGTAGCCCAGGCTGGTCTCGAACTCACAGTGATCCTCCTGCCTCAGCCTTCTGGGTGCTGGGATTACAGGTGTGTGCCACCACGCCCGGCAATAATTAAGTCTTATCATAAATATTTCTAGGCTTTGATATAGGACCCTGTCTTACTTTTCACATTGCTGAGACAAAATACCTTACACCCAAAGTTAAAGGAGAGGTTTCTTGTAGATCACAGTTTGTAGAGGTTTCAGTTCATAGTTGGCTGGCTCTAAGGCAGGGTGGCACAGCAGGCGGGCATCACAGAGGAGAAACAGTCCATGACAAGGCAGCAGAAAGCAACATAGGTGAGCTTGCCTCTCCCTTTAGGCATTTTTTGGTGGTGCCACCCACACCCAAGGTGGGGCTTCCCTTGTCAGTAATCTGTTCAGCCACACCCAGAACTATGCTGAATCAATCAGTGGACTAATTTAGTAACACACACCCTAGATCTGGCCAGCTCCAAAAGGCCCCACCTATGAATTCATGAAACCTTGGGGGGACACCTAGATACAAGCCATAATACCTCTTTAATGTTTCAGATTTCTGTTTGGAATACCCAAATGTGAGCATTGTTCATAGTGCCTGGAAAATTCACTTGAGTTGCTTTAGATTCATAGAAAAAAATATACTTTACACGAATAACTGTTTTACAGTTAAATAATATTAGAGGATTCTTGTTGCAAGGGGTCACCCCAAAATTATTTTTAAGTGGGGGTAGCTGGGTGTGGTGGTGCACACCTGTAATCCCAGCACTCTGGGAGGCTGAGGTAGAAGAATTGGTGTTTGAAGCCAGCCTGGCATAAAGAATGAGTTCAAAGCTAGCCTGGAATACATAGTGAGACACTATAAAAAAAAAAAACAGAGAGAGAGAGAGAGAGAGAGAGAGCGCGCAAGCACGTGAGTGCGAGCCGGGTGTGGTGTAATCACAGAACTCGGGAGGCTGAGGCAGGAGGATCGCTGTGAGTTTGAGACCAGCCTGGGCTACATAGTAAGTTCCAGGTCAGTCTCAACTACATAGTGAGACCCGGTCTCAAAACCCTCCCCCCAAAGAGAAAGACACACACACACACATACACACAATATTTCTTTTACATATTAAATAATGTTTGTTGATTTTGTGTTTGTTTTTTTGTTTTTTTTTTAGCTTATAGTTGCAACAACATGTATGGGAACAAACCATCCAATATTTTCCCGTAAAACTTTTGATTTTTGTATTGTGGATGAAGCCTCTCAAATCAGCCAGCCAGTTTGCCTGGGGCCGCTTTTTTTTTCTCAGAGGTTTGTGTTGGTGGGAGATCATCAGCAGCTTCCTCCCCTGGTGCTTAACCGTGAAGCAAGGTAGGAGACATTAAGCTTTGTTTTGTTTTAGTAGGGATGGGGCTTTGTATATATGTTCCCTGGACTGGCCTGGAACTCCCAGGGTCAAGCTTACCTCTTGCTGCAGCCTCCTGTGTAGCAGGAACTGTAGATATACACCATCGCAATGACATTGTTTTACTCTTGAAATGGATTCTTTTCAGGGGACTGTATTAGTACACTGATAGGCCTGAATTTGATTTATTGACAGAGCTCTTGGCATGAGTGAAAGCTTATTTAAGAGATTGGAGCGGAATAAGAGTGCTGTTGTACAGTTAACTGTGCAGTACAGAATGAACAGGTATTTATTTGTGTTAGCAGTGAATCTTTTTCATGTTTAATTTTCATCTACCAAGCTAATGCTATATTTTGCATCTCTTAGTAAAATCATGTCCTTAAGTAATGAGCTGACCTATGAAGGAAAGCTGGAGTGTGGATCAGAGAGAGTGGCCAGTGGAGTCATAACCCTACCTAACTTTAAAGATGTGAAGCTGGAATTGGAATTGTATGCTGATTATTCTGATAGTCTCTGGCTGAATGGTGTATTTGAGCCAAATAATCCTGTTTGCTTTCTCAATACAGACAAGGTAAAAAAAAAAAAATGCTTTTCTCCACTTGTCCTGTTTAACTTTCATATCAGTTTGAACGCAAACTACTGTGTACTACTTGTACTGCAACACAGGAGTCTTTTCTTACTATAGGCCCAATATCTTTGGGAGGAGACTTATTCTGGGGTTCAATAGCTATCAAAATTGACTTTTGTGTGTTTTTTTTCTTCCCGGTGCTGGGATTGATTGAACCCAGAGCCTTGTGCATTAGGACAAGCACTCTGCCACTGATCTACATACCCAGCCCCAAAATTGACTTTTCAAGAAGGAAAGCCAGAAAGTAAGGCAAACACATAGTTCCATTTCTTAGGCAAAAGAGTGACAGTGACCACTACCAAAGGGCTAGATTTATAAGTGGACAGAAAAGAAAATAAACTGATGACTTCTAAAAACTTTTTAAAATAAACTTTTAGTTTTTAGAGCAATTTTAGGTAAGTGGCAAAATTAAGCAGGAAATACAGGGATTTTTTCCATATATCTTGCCTTGACATGTGAACATAAAGACCCTTTTACAAATCTTATTAAATTAAAATTGTTACAGGGACATGAAATGGCTTTAGGCTTACTTCTAGGAACTAAGAATGAAATTTTTTTCTTTTTCTGGTACGGGGATGAACAAGGGACCTTGCGCTTGTGAGGCAGGCGGCAGCACCACTGAGCTAAATCCCCGCCCCCAGAATGAAGTTTTAAACCCTATATTCTTAGTGTGTTTTGTAGTGATTCCCAGCCCTGAGTTGAATGTTCAGGTAGTAGTACCCGTTCATATGGGAATTAGTGTAGACCACTGATGGCAGAACCTTTAGAGAACGAGTGCACAGCTGCAGTCCCAAACCCACTTACTCACGAAGTGCCAGCGCTGCAGTTAAACCTGAATACTGACTGGCCATGTGAAAGCCTGGATGAGTTGTGGCTGATGTTGTGTCTGGTGACATCATTGCCATTTGATGGACCCTGCTACTCCTTTATGAGCACGCGCATGGTCCCTGTGTGTATTGTTATCTGATGCTTGGCTCGTGTGTCACCGAAAGGGCTCTTTGTGCCCACTGTAGCACGCATACCTTAGGTTTGCCACCACTGTTCTAAATAATTATCTTTGTTGGGCTGGAGATTTAGCTCAGTGGTGCCGCCACCTGCCTCGCAAGTACAAGGACAGAAAGGAAAGAAGGCGCTGGAGAGGGGAGCGGAGAAGAGAGATGAGGGAGATGGATGGATGGATAGATGATCGATAGATAGAGCCAGTTGGTTTAAAATAAGGTCTACCTACCTACACATCAGAAATTTTTCTTTTTCTTGTATATGGCCTTCCAGGGTTCTGGTTTAAGAATTTGATTTTTATCGCCGGGTGTGGTGGCGCACGCCTGTAATCCCAGCATTCTGGAGGCTGAGGTAGGAGGATTGCTATGAGTTCGAGACCATCCTGGGCTACATAGTGAGTTCCAGAGCAGTCTCAATTACATAGTGAGACTCTGTCTCAAAAAACCAGAAAAAAAAAAAATTTTTTTTTTTTTTTTTGGCTTTTATCAACTAGAAGCAGGATGGCTCTGGGAAATTTATTCCGATAAAATGATACAACAAATAATGGTTTTTCTAACCACAGTTCCAGTTTATTAATTGTAATTTACAAGTATTCACTTCACTCATGATTGCTCAGATTCTTTATTTTTTTATTTTTTATTATTTTTTGGTACCAGGGATCAAACTCGGGTCCTTGTGCCTGCAAGGCAGGCGGCGTCACCACTGAGCTAAATCCCCAGCCCAGATTCTTTATTTTTGATACTCCAGTTTCTTCTTAGCATCAGGATTCCAAACAAATTACCTTAAAAATAATCAAGATTGTGCTGGGGATGTAGTTCAGTGGCAGAGCCCTTGCCTCATGCAAGACCCTGGATTCTAACCCTAATACCAAGAAAGAAAAAGATTGTGTAGGAATAATAGAGCAGTAAAGTAGTCCTTTTGGAGTTTGTAGGTTTGCTAAAGCCTGAGAGCCTTGTCTGCTCCATTACTTGTATAATAGGCAACAGAAAACTAAGGGTACTGATATTAGAGCCAGCTCTAAATTTTGAATCCTAGGGTTAAGAATTTGTTGTAAGGCCTCAGGCAAGTCACTCTCTTTATGCATTTGATTCCTGAAGAATGGGAAATAACAAAGTAAAGTGTATGAAAAATAAGGTGTGGTCAACTTTCCTAAGATTTTGTAGTGATACAGCATCCGTTAGTGTTGCATTTGCCTGTCTTCTAGAAAGTGACTATTCATTTTTACTGATTCTTTCACCTTTTAAAAAGGTAGTTTTTTGGGTTTTTTTTTTTTGTTTTTTTTTTTTAATGTTTACAAACGTGGGTGTAAAGTCTTTACATTGCCCTGTGCTTTTAGAGATTGTTACAAAGAAGCCATCTATTTTTCTACTTAGGTTCCAGCACCGGAACAAGTTGAAAAAGGTGGTGTGAGCAATATAATAGAAGCCAAATTAATAGTTTTCTTGACTTCAACTTTTATTAAGGTAATTTAGAATGTTTAAGGCTAATTAATATTCAGGTGAAATATTACTAGGTTGTGAGAAACTTAAGATCTGATGTTAGCCCTATTGATTAAAATAATGAGACTGGAGCCATATTGTTTTTGTTCTGAGAAATTTTATCTAAAATATAGGTAAATGTTTTTGGCTGGGCATGGTTGTGCACACCTGTAATCCCAGCATGCAGGAGACTGAGGCAGGAGGACTGCCAAGAGTTGGAGGCCAGCCTGGACTACATACTACAGAATGAGTTCAAGCCCAGCCTTCACTACATAGCAAGACCCTGCCTCAAAAACTTAAAAAAGAAAAACAAGTGTAATTTTTTATAATGACTTTTCAGAGTTTCCACTGAGGATAATTTAGCAATGTCAGATAATTCCAGTTGTGTCAGTACTGTACTGTAATCAGTATGATTGGGCATTGGAGACTTTTCTATGTAAGGGATAAGAGAGTGAAATGTGTTTCTGTTGTACTTTGTACTGTTGTACTGTGTGACAGCACTTTTTTTTTTTAGTGGCCCACAAACCATTATGCTTCCTGAACCTCTCAAAATCATAAGAGTGATGTCCAAGGAATTATTTTATCATGGGTAACAGGCATATATTTAGAACAAATTAAGTACTTATGTTTATTCCTTACGGTAGTGGGAACATCAGTGACAAATTTGAGTTGGTAACTAATGTACATTAATGAATTCAGTAAATCTAACTAAAAAATGGGGATTTTTCATTTGAAATTCTTTTTCTGTTTAGGCTGGATGTAACCCCTCTGATATTGGTATCATTGCACCATACAGGCAGCAATTAAAGATCATCAGTGATTTATTGGCACATTCTTTTGCATCAGTTGAAGTTAATACAGTAGACAAATACCAAGGAAGAGACAAAAGAATAATCCTAGTATCATTTGTTAGAAGTAATAAGGATGGAACTGTAAGTGAATTATATCTGCTACCAACTCATCTGGGGTGTCCCTTCCCCTAGGTTTTTGTTTTGTTTTGCTTCATTTTGTGGTAATGAACCCCGGGCCTTTTGCACGCTTGGTAAGTGCTCTAACCTAGCTGAATTTCTATCTTTGAAATTGTCTTAATCATTTTAAAATATATTCACAGTGTTCTTAGAGATCTCCAGAAACTTCCTTTTCTTCCCCAGAAATTTTATACTAGTGAATAAGTCTCCTTCTTCTACTTCCAAGCCTGTTACTAACCATCATTCTGTTTTGTCTCTGAATTTGACTCTTCTAGGTACTTTACCTAAGTGGGATCATACAGTATTTGTCTTTTTGTGACTGGTTTATTTCACTTGGGTTCATTCATGTTGTACCATGGGATAGGGTTTCCTTCCTTTTTAAGATGGAATAATGTGCCATAGTTTATGTACACATTTTATTTATCCATTTATCTTCAGATGGCTATTTGGTTTGCTTTCACCTTTGGCTGTTGTGGTTGAGGCATTTTAAAGAAAAACTTCCTTTAAAAAAAAAAAAAAAAAAAGCTGGAGCTGGGGATTTAGCTTAGTGGTTCCAGTGCCTGCCTTGCAACCGCAAGGACCCGAGTTCAATCCCCACTACCAAAAAAAAAAAAAAACTTCCTTGTATACGTTTGATTTGAAAATAATTGTAGGTTTTATTTTGTTTGCATTTTTACTTTTTTTTTTTTTTTTTTTTTTTAAACCAGGGTCTGACTGTGTAGTGCAGACTGGCCTTGAACCCACTATTTAGCCCAGAGGACTCAGTGATCCTCCTGCCTCAGCCTCCTAAATGCTGGGATTACATGTGTATCACCACACCCAGCTTTCATCTCTTAATTTGTTTTTCTTGACTATATAACACATTTATATGGTTTAGGGCCAGGGATTTGGCTCAGTGGTGCCACCGCCTGCCTCGCAAGTGCAGTTTGATCCCAGGTACCAAAAAACCCCACATTTATTTGGTTTTTTGTTGTTGTTGTTGTTGTTGTTGTTGTTGTTGTTGTTGTTTTGGTACCAGGAATTGACTTTGGGACCTTGCACTTGTGAGGCAGACAGTGGAACCACTGAGCTAAATCCCAGCCCTATAATCTGTGTTTTAAAAGTAGGAAAATAGATGAAGATGACCATGTTGTTTGTTACAGCAAACTTAAAGTATACATTATGAGAAAACTTAAATAATTGAAAATTACATTTTTTACAGCTTGGTGAACTCTTGAAAGATTGGCGGCGTCTTAATGTTGCTATAACCAGAGCCAAACATAAACTGATTCTCCTGGGGTGTGTGCCCTCACTAAAGCGATATGCTCCTTTGGAGAAGCTGTTTTGTCATCTAAACTCAGAAAAATTAATATCCTTTTTGTCTTGTATGTGGTCACATTTGTGCTACTGTGCTTTTTATGAACTTGTTAAAATTAAAAATTAGTGTCTTATGTTTTCCACCTGCATTTTTCAAAGATCTCATTTGATAGAGGAGAGAGAAAACAATCCATAGGAAAATACTTACTGGAAGGTCTAAAGATATATTTATCTTATTGCCTGAGTACATAATTATCCATAGAGTGCCATGCAGTTCTTCATATTTTTTTAGTTCTATAAATCCTATTGTAAAATGTGAAAAAAAATCATAAATGTTTTTGTAGAATCCCATGTGTTAAGTACATCTTCCTTAATTTATTCTACATCATTGATCTTCCATCAAGACAGCATGAAAGTCTCTGTCACATACTGGGAGATTTTCAAAGAGGTTGAAGCAGTTTTCCTTGCCTATTTATATTAGGGCAGTGTCTCCTAGCTGGTGCCTACTATTCCTAGTTTTTGTATGCTCAGAACAGCCTGGTTGAACTGAGAAGATACTTTTATTTAAAGGGTGCTCTGCAAAGTTCCAGTTGTTTTGTTTTTCTCTCTTTCCTATTTTTCTCTCTCTGGTTTAAGCTTGTTTTTGTTTTTTTTTTGAGACAGGGTCTCACTATTTAGTTGAGACTGGCCTAGAACCCAACTATGTAGCCCAGGCTGGTTTTGAACTCACAGTGATCCTCCTGCCTCAGCCTCCTGAATGCTAGGATTACAGGCACGCCCAGCTACTGTCTTTTTTTGTTTTGTTTTTTGGTTGTTTAATCTTTTTAAACATAAAATTCTGTTGCCATACAAAATTTAACACTGTATTTATTTAAATACTAATGTACCCCAAACTGGGGAAAGTCTATGGGTACTATAAATACATTTTCATCTGGCCTAGAAAAAGTGTTTGAGGAATTTTTAACCAACTAAGAAACTTTAAGTCAAAAATTTCAGGACTAATTTAGATTTATAGCTTGAACTGTACGAATTATATTTGAAGTATTAGATAAAGTTTTCATTATTTAAGCAAATTGTGATGATGGGGAAACAGGTGTGATTTTTTTCTCTGTATTTTAAGGTTCCTGACCCAAAGGACATTTTTATTTTTAGTACTCAGTATTTCAGTATTTACTTCATACTCTAGCCTTGAGCTCTGTAATCCTTGCCTCAGCCTCCTGAGTGCTAGGATTACAGGTATATGCCACGACATGACTAAAATAGAATGTGATAGAAGATAATTCTTATACTTTTGAGATGAAATCTTGTTTTTCTGAATTGATGACAAATTTAAAAGTTATATCCTTGTTTTTGCTTGTTTATATATGTTTGTTTTTTTTTGTTTGGGAGCAGTCTTCAGTTTTTTCCTTTTTGTGTTAGGTATGATGGCCACACCTATAATCCAGGTACTCAGGAGGCTGAGACAGGAGAATCTCAAACCCAAGATAAACCTGGGCAACCTAGGGACCCTGTCTTGGCTGAGAATGTTCCTCAGTCTTAGAGTGTTTGCCTATCTCAATCCCCAGTACTGGGGTGGCAGTTGAGGGGGAGTTGTTCAAATTACCTCAAAGTGATTTGTTATACATGTAGCAGATTTTAACCTCAGTGTATCTATCTTCTGGAGGGAAAAGTCTCATTTGTTATTTTTAAAATTATTATTAAATATGTAAAATTGTTGCCTCTAAGTTATTGGTTTTAATAAATTGTTTTCTACTGATAGATTTTACTGTGTCATTTATTATTAAATGCTAATTGTGAAGTTCAGGGTTGTCCAGCACTCTTTGTAGTGTTGATAATATTCTAAAGCTGAATCCAAGGAGTGTTGATATTATAGACAGATTTATTAGAATACACAGGATGGGCCTGAACATGGAGAAATTTTAGATCAGACAACGAAGATGGGAAATGTTGAGATTACAGGGGCTTAAATACTGTTAGCTATCCTGAGAAAGCAGGAAGGAATATAAGAGGATTTCCGTTCCTGGGACCGAAATGAATAGAAAGCTCTTTGGCTCAATTATTGGTAGCTTCCTTATGTACAGGTTTGTATGGCTTGAGGACTAAGCACCATAGAAGAGTCTGGAAAGGAATTCCGTGGTTCCTGTCATTTTTCATGAGGTTCTAGCAGCATCTACATAGAAGGTGCTGTGAGGTGGCAGCTGGGGTTAGGTTAAACCCAACCCAGGTCTTCGAGGAGCTGGCAGTGCACAGCAAGCATGAACTCTGTGCTAAGGCCTGCTCCCGATCGCCAGCCTTACTGGGCCCTCACCTGGTGCAGACCCACATCAAAAGCACCATTAGCCTAGACGGAGTTTTCCTTCTAAAGGATTGGAAGACAATGACCTATTCCATTGGCCGTGTTCCTCAGTCAGTTTGAAATCAAGGGAAAAATGGGATCAATGCTTTAACCTTAATCCACTTCACCTACTTTTACTTGCTCTTAGCTGACTTTAAAGTCAGCAGTTTTAAATTCAATGAGGGAAAAAAAAAGCCGTTTTAGAGATAAGACCTGACATGTGGGAGGGTCAGGATAGTGACAGCTGGAGTCTGATCATGTACTCACCGACCACTAGTTACTTCCCAGCCTTCTATTACTTTGCTCTCTCAGTTGAAGGGGCCCGTTCTCAGATCCTGTCTTCTCCAGCCCCATCCTTGGGGAGGTAGTTTTGAGGCTTGCTCTCCGATCTTCACACTTGGCTGCCTCCCAAACGAACTCTCCCTGCCAGACTCATTTCAGATACTGGCCTGCTGTACCATGGGCCTGCTTTGGGACCAAGTTCAGTGTTCTGCCTCTTGATGCTGCCTCTTGAATCCTCTCTCCTTATCCCTCACTCTAAAGCTAGGTCTTCCCTCCTTTTAAACTGTCACTGGCTTCAGCCAGCACCTCTGTGGTGGTTTTTTTTGAGACAGGGTCTTGCTATGTAGCTCAGGCTGGCCTTGAATTGACTAGCCCAGGTTGGCCTTGAACTGGACACTTTCTCAGCCTCACCAGTGCTGGTTATACAGACATGCAACCACCATGCCCTGCACCTCTGGTTGTTTATCAAACCCGCACCTCACCCTACCTTGCAGGTCCTAAACTTTGCCTTTGGATCACTTCTGTTGGCCTTGCCCCTGGGTTTTTGTTTTTTTTTTTAACCCCTAGATTTCTTAAGTGGATCTTTTATCTTTCCTGATGACTTTGTGATGTCCTTGTCAGCCTTGGACAGTGTCGTAAAGCTTGGAGAGTGCTGATCACTGAATTTTTTTCATAATCTTATCTTGTACTGCCCTCTGGTAGTTTGGTGTGGTAATCTAGACTGGTGTTTGAAAGACAAAAATTAGCTGGGTGTGGTGCTACCCACCTGAAAGTCCCAGCGTTCTGGTTGATACACACAGATTCTCAGATTTGGGCCTAGCTCAGGCAATTGAGCAATTTAGTGAGACTCTAAAAACAAAAAAACAACTAACAAAAAAACCTTGGAGATGAAGTTTAGTGTGAAGACCCTGGGTTCAATCAATTCCACAAAAAATAGTAACTTTGTAGTAAAACTGCTAGAGAAAGTTATTGCCCCAATTTCTTGAAATGCAGCAACTATATAGCCTTAACTATTACCCAGGTTTGACTGGCTAACAGCTTTTACTTTTCCCAAACCAATAGGATTTAAGCTTGGTGTCATCTGGCCACGAATTCTGCTTCCCTGCCTGAAATGAATAAACACTGGTTTTCTGTCTACATCTCTTTCCCCGCGATTGTTTTTACGAACCGATGATTTGGAGCTGTCTGCCCAGTGTCAGGGGATTTCTACCCACCGTTCACTGAATTCGCTTCTCCAAATTCCTCTGATCTCCCGGAGCTGGCGAAGACCAAGAGAAATGAAAGGAGGCGGCGAGC